GAATATTCGTTGGCTTCGGTTGAAATGATTTTCTGAATGAATTTTAATTACAACCAGAATGGAATATGATTTGAAGTGCGCATTGCACGAAACATAATTCGAATCTGTTTGTAGTAAAACGCTTTTGACGAATCATTTCCGGGTCGAACAATAATTTCTGGCTTAGGCCGGTGTTAAGAATCATTTAAAATCGAGCTATAAAATAAAACCGATGATGATTTTGGTTCGATTGAGTTGATGCGGATAATACCGAAATACCATTTCAATGTTGAGCTTAATGCTTTTTAGTCCAGAAACTGAATCAAAATTCTCGATGTCTTATGATTCGGCCCACGTTAACGAACAAAGAATAAATAGCCCATAATGCCATCGATCGAGCAAATAGCCTTAAAAATAAGAAATTATTTTGGTCGTTTGCTTTTTCCAAACCTCCAAACAAACCGTATCAATCCTGAATTATCTGTTTTTTTGTTGTTGTTGTTGTTGTTGTTTTGCTTTATTTGTACACACCGGAATCGTTGAAGCAAAAAAAAGAAGAACAACACAGCTTAACAGAAACATCGGGCAATTTCGATTTGAAAATAGCATTTGTGTGATGCTAATTTTATATGACGTTCATTTCTATTGACTTTTCTCAGGCACATGCATGCACATTGTCTCCATCGTTGTGGCACATAAACATGGCACAATCTCTCAAGCCGATATACTTGATGAATTCAGATGTTCCAATTAAGTGTGGCTTACGAAACGTTATCTGAAATTTCCACCAGCAAAGAGTATGCTAACGACATTAACTAATCGAAACATGACATTTTTTTACTAGCATATTCACCTGCTGTGTGCAAGTAACATTAACGTTTCGATATTTCAACTGTTTTCTTTTATTTATCAACAGTTTTTCTTTTAATAGTCGCTTCAAACGAATCGTCTGATCATTGAATGACGAAATCGAGCATTTCTATTTTATTATCGGAGCGTCTAATGGGAACATCGGCATATAAGAGTTGATTCGGAATTAGAAATAAAAAGAGTATTCGTATTGCGCCAGACACAACATATCTTGAAAGATGAACACATTTCATCGAATGGTCCTGGTGTCAAAGATTTTGTAACTACACGACCACCGCCGAAACTGAACTCAAATTTAAAACCCATAAAAAAGGTGAAATTTGGCTGGCACGCGGTGTAATAATACCGGTACTCATACTATTTGTACCTGCTTAAATTTATTTACCAAATTCAACATTTTATTGGCTTCGTGCAAAGTTTGTATAAATTTCATTAAAGAAGAAGAAGGAAAAAAAAACACCGAAAAGAGGGAGAAAAAAATTCAGTCGACGTTGCTGTTGTTGTCGAAGACGAAATGTGTGTGTGTGTGTGTATGTATGAGTGGTGCACATGTAGGACTGAGGCAACAGCAAACAACAACAGCAGCTCGTTGTGCGTTGTTCGTTAGTAACAACAACGTTCTTAACGTTTTTAACGAGCTGAAAAGGAACATTACAAACACATTCGAATGGAATAATGAAAGAGCACTCGGTGTGTGTGTGTGTCGTACATCGGCCATCGTCACACAGCCGAACGTAATAGAGGCAATAAGACTCGACGGTCGACGATACATACGACAAGATCAACAGCAGCAACGACGCATGGGGGAAGCGAATGAGTGTGTACAGAAAAAAACACACTGAATGTGAAAACCTAAGTAATAGGTAAGGTCAATAAAAGTATTTTAAACCCGACCCTCATTATCAATACCTTCAATCTCTTATTCTTGCGATCGTAGGTTCGTTTGTTGGTGGTTTTTTTCTTCATCCTTTCTTATTTGGTTTCATTTCGAATGTCTGTACTTGGGCACACCGAGCACGACAGCAACAAACTATATACATATGCACAGAGAGACCGAAAAAAATTCTGTGTGTTTTTTTACGGAAAAAAAGAGAAAAAGATTGTTGTTAAACACGTTATTTATGGAAATACAAGCACTGCTTCATTCGGTACGAACACCACACTCATACAATCGGGCGTGCAGATACAGAGGATAACATGATGAACCATAACAATAACAATACGGCTAATAGCCCAATACATAAAAAAAACACAACAAATGCTTAATAACATGGAACAGAGCCGAAGAAACAAAAAATCCTCCGTATTCCGATACGCAGAGAGAGAGAGAGTGTGTGTGTTTGTGTGTGTAAAATGTGCATTTGTATGGGCACACAAGTACAATTGCAGCAAAATACACATCGATAAAAGTGCATACACCACATGCAACGCGATCCACACAATGGCACTTCGCTAACCGATTCGTGTGTCTGCCGTCGCACTCTTTGCCTCTCTCTCTCGCTCTGTGTCTCTCATTCCCATCCTCGGCTTCAACTCTATTACCATGGAATTATTTCGCATTGTTCGCCGCTGAAATTGTGCATTCATTTATTATTTAATCAAATTAAAATGATTCGCATAAAAATGCCAAACAGAAGTCATTGCAAAATAAATTTTCGAATACGTTACAAGAGCGCGCGCGCCCCACTGAAAACATACAAATATTTCAGCGTTGGTAGAAAACGAAAAAAATGTCTCGACGAGATAGATCCCAGTAAGTGAATTGGATTGGATTGGATTGGATAGAACGGAGCCGGATTGCAACCGAAAAATTCTCTCTCTTCTCTCATATCATCTGTTCTGTTCTGTACTTTATTTTGCATTTGTTTTTCCTTTCTTGTGTGTGCATGTCCTTTTTTCTCCTCAGTCTGTTTCGTTCGTTGGCGAATAGGTTCATAAATTGTGCTGTCTTCTTTTTGAGATGTTCAATAGTGCACAGACAAATCCCAAATTAAATGAATGTAATTCTGATGATGGTGGATTTTATGCCAAGTTTTCCAGCCATACACATACACAAAGACAGTCTTTCAAGCAAGACATTTATCGAGCCAAGGAGACGAAGCACGAGTGTAGCTGAATTATGTCAGATATTTGATGTTGAAAATTAAGACAACAGGGCACAACAAGATTGGACATTAGTCGAAAAATGAGTTGCATATTTTGTTTGAGCTCTTTTTTGAAGGTTTTCTTCGAGTGCAGTACGGCTTGCGCTGCTCACTTTTTGTTCGGTATATCATTGAAGTATGATATCGGTGAAACGGAGAAGCGTGTGCTCAAAGATAAGACACTGTACGAGGCACTGTCATTGCTGTGCAAATAATGAATGAAAGAAAAAAAAGGAACACGACGCAAAACATTCAAAGTTTGTTGTAATAAACGAGACATTGTACCGTTTCGCATCGGGTCATTTTTGAAATTGTTGTCAAGTAAAGTTTCGAGAAATTAATAACAATTTTGTAATAAGGTAGTTTGGAATCGGTGATTTTTTTTTACAATGATGATGATGATGAGTTACCTGCTTGCTCGCATCTTCAACTTTCAAAAACTCTTTCCATGAAATTCAATCTCTTTTTTTTTGCCGATTACGATAGTAATTGCATTGCACGCCGCGCAATTTAATACCCAACTTTGTCTATTTCATTTGAATATTCGATGTGAACTGTTGCAATACGATGAGGTCATGGTAAAGACCAAGGATCAGCTACGGAATATATCCGCTCCGTCCAATTCCAAATCGACTGTTTATTATAATTAATTAGAATAATTCATGCGAAAATATTTGGCCTCGTTTTCTCTCTCTGCTCCCATAAAATAATTATCAGGCGGCAATTTATGGGAATTGGCAAAGAAGGGAGAAAGACAGAGAGAATGACAGATATAAGAATGAATTGCAAAGGTCTTGGAATTGACGGCTGAATGGTAAACATGAGGTAGAAATGAGATTGTGAACATAAGCGAGCGAATTACTCGACAACGAGCAAAATTGAACGTACGATTGAAGACTGAATAATGGGACAAAGTATACCACGAATACGGTGAGGCAGCAAAAACACACCGAATCGATTCTCACTGCCAACAGGAGGACGGAAAGAGAGTGTGAGAGGGACAGAGAGGAAGAACGAGTGAGAATGAAATAAAGAGGAGCAAACGAAGCAGCACACAACAGCTGCGACGGCCATTTTCGCTGTGTTTATTCTTTTCACCTCAGCCTTCTCTCTGGTTCTACTGCACTCAATTGTGTGTATTCGGCATATCATGAGAGACGGGAACCGAAAAAATTTAATTCGAACACACATTCTGTCGCTGCGTTCGGTGAATGTGTGTGCTTGTATAGAAGGCACATATATCGAATGATCCACACACCGTTGCCATTTGTCGTTTACCGCCTTTGCACTCCTTAGTTAACAGTTCACAACGTAAATGGATTTAGGAAATATATTTTCATATTTGCGTATGCGACGAATACAATATATGCGATGAGCAGCAGTCGAGCAACCGAGCAAAAATCTTTCTCTCATCGCTCTTTCACTCTCTCTCTCTCTCGATGTGTGTCGCGCTCTGCACACACAACACACACAAAAAACCGGCAACCATAATAACAAAGCAACAGTGTGCCATGCGGATGCCATTACAAAGGTATTTACAGCGATTTGTTTTGTTTGCCAACGTGTGTTATGTGTGTCGTGCTGCCAGTCAGCCAGCGAAACAAGAGAGAAAGAGCGAGCATTTTCAATTTTCCTGAAAAATTTGAATTTGACACTTCTTCTCGCTCTCTCTTTCTCTCTCTCCACATTTCTTTGGCGGCGGTTGTGCAGCCAAAAAAGGAACATTAGAAATTGCTAAAAATTTTGATTTATTTTACCAATTTCCGTTGACTTTGGTTCGTTTGCACTGGGATGAACATGAGTTCAAACTTATGCTCGATACGCTTGATGGGTATTTGTGTGAGTGTGTGGCGCATTAAGTTACACATTTCTCAAAAGAAATTCAATCACAACAAAGTTCAATTGACAAAATTACGATTACATTGAATTCTAGCACAATTCGAATAGAAGCAATCACATCAACGGCAAAGTAATGGAAAGAAAAGAACAAATAGAAATATAATTTACCTTTTGTTTGTGTGTTGTTGTTGTGACGACAACGACGACGACGACGACGATGTTGTGTTGATGATGGTGATGTTGAAGACGACGACGGCGGCGAATAAACGACACAGCGTTTTCTTTCTATTTATCAGTTTGTTTTATATATTTAAGTGTTCGATTTAGCAAAAGTACAAAAGTACAGCAGAGAACGTGCGTTCTTTCTCTTGCTGTTGCGTCGGGATTTTCCCTTTTCTGCGATAAAAGTTGATGGAAAATGGAAATAAAAACAGTTTCGAAAAATGCACACTAACGTGTACACATACACACTGAATTAAAAAACTTTTTTTCCGCTGTTGTTGTTGTCGATTCTGTCTAAAGATGTGTACACACAAATAAACAGAACGAAAACGGAAAAACAAAAATAAATTGACGAGAACGAAATCAGGCGATTGAACGAAAATGTGTTGGGAAAGAGGAGCGCGCGCGCGCGCGCGAGGTAATTCTTTTTCTTGCCCGTCTCACACACTCGCTCTCTCTCTCTCCTTCTTCTATCTCTATCACACTCACATTCGTGACCAACACAATAGACAAGCACTCGGCCAAATAGCAACAGAGAGCAATAATAAAATACACCGGTAAATCGCAAAAGCGCACACGAGAGAGCGGCACGCGGATTACACTCTCAATTTTTCAGCATAAAAGAAAATAAAACGAAAAAAAGATATATATATACGAGGCGCAAATCAACAAACAGAACGAACGAAACGAACGAGCGAAACAACCGAAAAAAAGGCAGCAACAAGAACGAGCGAGAATTGAATGTACTTAAGGTACTGCTGCCAAAGACAAGCGCGCGATAGAGTTTTATCGATTTTAATTTCTTGATACCAGGCGTCATAAAATGTGCATTTACATTGGCGCGGTGTGGAATTTTCCCCTCTCCTCCCTCAGTCTATATATTCATCCAATATTCCCGGACACTTTAATTAATTATGAAGTTCTCACTAGATTGATTTATGTTTTATTCAGTGCGTTATTTTGAAACTTTCCGATAAAATATCCCGATGGTATCGATGCAAATTTTGCGCAATGTTTCGATCAACAAAAACCGAAAGAAAAAAAGTAAAATGAGTAAAATGCTTTATTATTGACGCGTTAGAGATTGCTGTCTCTGTTCCTGTTCGGCAAGAGCCTGAGAGTTTATTTGCGTTTGGTTGTGAATGATGGTGATGACGATGATGATAATGATGATAAACGACGTTGTTGTTTTGGGCCAACAATCGAAACCGTGTACATAAACTAATTGAATTGAAGCTTTCAAGCGAATTTTCCAATTGAATCGCCAATTTTTCTTTCTTTTTATTTCGTCGAATCACTGCAATTTTTATCCGTGTAATGAAAACAATCAACAAATAATCGGTAACTCAACGCATTTAACTAAAATCAAATAAACTATATAAATAATCACAATGCGTGTATTTTTTTCGTCTCAAAAACTGAACTTTGCACGGGAATTGGTTTGGTTTTTTTTTCTTTTTCGGCTACCGATTAAAATTAAAATAAAGAACTTTCACTTTCGAATTGCCAGGGAGAAATTATCAAAAAAAAGAAAGAATGTAACTCGTTTTGTTGTTGTTGTCATAGTTTAGTAAAGAAAAAAAACGTCAATTTCGAGTATCGCGACCAATTGCAATAATTCGCTCGAAATGAATGAATTTCAATTTCCAGTTGTGGTGCTGTCTTTTTAGTTTGCGGTTATTGGCCGTAAAAAAACCCGAAAAGGATTACGATTTTATTTTATAGACTCAATAAAAGAAAACGAAACAAAATGAAAATAAACATTTTTTTTTTCTACTTTCTCGCAATTAATTACCCGACATGAACCGCGATAATCCGAACTAAAAAATTCAATTAATTTAATTTTTGTTTGCTTCGAAAAATGCTTACACTTGCAATTTATTTAGTTTACTCAATGAACGAGCGAGTCACACACGAGTTTGAAATAATTTTTTTCGAGTTCTTGTGTTTATTCCGTTCTTCTTTATATTCTTCTTTATTTTCTCTGTATATATATCGTGGTGTACGACGCTAAAATGGCGAACAGGTACACTAGAACCATGTACCTCACTGTATGACTCATGAAACGATACTAACCATGCCGCTTCCACATTTGTGAACACAAACATCGCGTTTCCACTGTAGCAACGTCATGGCACATCGGAACGAAGTGTGTATGTATGGTGGGATTGCCATTGTATAGGTATGTCTCGTTTTGTATTCGGTGGTCATCGGTTCGGGTGAATGCGTTGGTATATGTGTCTCGATGTGGTGCGCGTATGTGTGTATGTGGAAGCAACGCGCTTCTTTCTCTTCGTGTGTGAGAACCCAAACAACAAACATTTGTGTGTTCCGAGTCGCGTTGTGCAATCGGATACATGGTTCGGTAGTGCGAGCGACGACTGAATGAGCGAGTGTGTGTGTGTGTGTATGTGTGTATGCGTCGTGAATTGAAATTTACAAAAGAACAAAATGAATTTAATGAGCATGAATCTATCTATGTATATATCCAAATGTATAAAACACATATATGCGCCAAAAGCAAGAGAACATCTAGCCGAACAGCCAAAAACCATCACATTTATTGAATGAAAATGCGTCGATAGTATGGGTGAATGTAGCACGATGTATATATATCTATATATGTATGTGCGTATACGTATGGCGAGCGGGCAAACGAAGACGTCGAGTAGCAGCTGAAAGAATTTATAGAATATAAAATATCAACAAAACGAGAGATGGAATTACGGCCCCCATACGCCATACATTAGAGCGAAGGGTACGCGAAACCAATTCATTTAATTTGAGCGCTCTGGCTCTCGCTTTTTCGCATACGTTCGGAGTTTTTAACGACTTCGAGACCATGGTATAGAGAATCGCAACATACATGTCGAATTTTTCCAACCATGCTCGTATCGTTCGCTTGCTGGCTGGCTGGCTGGCTGCCTCGTTCATTCGTTCGTTCCTATCGGGCGAAACATAAGCACACAGCTATATAAACATGAACGAAAATGGTTGGATGCAGTGAAAAATTGCATCGAATCGAATCACGCGTGTGTACTGAGCGCGGCAGCATGCTCTGTGCAGACGAAAGGCGATGATGAACTTGGACGGAAGTATTGTCGAAATGATGACGATGAAAAAGAGATGAAGAAGAGAAAAGAAAGAAAAAAAACTTCACGCGCGCTATTCAATTGCGATGACAATACAACACAATCAATCGATAGACGACGGGCAATTCGGTCGCTTGCATACTGCAAGCTCGACTGGCGTACACCCGAAAAACCTTAGCGCACATACACACGCTCTCCTCACCACGCACAATAAGGAAGATTACATTTCGTACCTCACTTCATTCACTAAATGATTGCATCGGAAAACTTATATCGACGACGATTAAATGTGTGAATAAACACACAGTGCAAAATTGCCTACGGTTTTATTAAATTGTACAATAACATTATTCATACGCTATTTTCGCTAATGCGCGTTATATTCTCTCTCTCTCTCTCTCTCTCTGTTTCGAATGCAGGTTTCCAATCGGCAAAGCCATCAGCACGTACATCGTACACACTACACATATTCACACATACACACACACATATACACCGTTCCGTCGTCGGTCTCTCTATCATCAGATAGGTGATGTGGGATATCCCGGCTACACAGCAAACGATACACAAACGCTTGATATAATGAACGTTTAGCAGGAATAGTAAATAGAACACACGAACTACACTCTTCCACTGCACACCGTGGAGCCATATTCCAAGTTAAAATAATAACAAGATAATAACCAAACAATGGAATTGCTGTAAACATTCATAATTTTATTTACATTCGAGCTCTCTCTCTCTCTCTCTCTCTCTCTCCCTCTCTCTCTCTCTCTACTGAATGAAAAGTACAGCAAATGAAGAGCAAACGAAAAGACGTAGAATAAAAATTACTACTACGACGACTAGATGGAGAAGGAATGGGAGAAAAAAAACGTGGGACGTCGTCGATTCTTTTTGCCCCGTTGTTGCTGTTGATGGTGTGTGCTTTTGTTCGATTCCCACTTTTAATTTCATTAGAGCGATTGAATGCAATGCTCATCTTCGTACATAATGAGAATCATTTCATATTTTCATAAATGCTTTGTGGGACCATCAACTGTCATTCATTGGAAGAAGACTCCGCGTAATTACGCTAGTCATCGTAATGAAAGCGGCAAACGGCGGAATAAAATGACGATATCGTAACTATATATAGAGAAGAAGCATACGACAACGACAACGATGAACGTATACTTACTGCTCACCTTTTATTAAATTAAATTCAATTAACAGTGACGACGACAAAACATGTTCTTTTTGCCATCAATTTGGTGAGCTGAACGCTGTTCTCTGTTCTGGTGTGTCGTTTTTCGTTGTATGTGCGAGAGCGCGCGCTGTTCATCGTTTTGGGTTTATTTGGCAAAGAGAGTGAGTGAGTGAGTGAGTGAGTGAGAGAGAGAGAGAGAGAGAGAGAGAGAGATTCTCTAGCTATTTGCATATGGTTTTATATGAAGGTTGATTGTTTGGTTGGTTCGTTGGTTGTGTTTCTACCACTCTACTCCTTCTACGTCGGCTGATGTTCCCGCTGCCACCGCCGCCACCGTCGCCGTCATCGTTGCTATTGCTTCTGCTGCTTCTCTATCACTTGGTTTACTCTCTGTCGGTGATTTCATATCTGCGCGAAGCGCGCGCGCGCGGGCTCCGGAGAAACAAAGCACATTTAAGTTCATTAAAATTGTATAAAATCATTTTTCGTTGTCGTATTCCTGTTCGGTTCGGTTCTGGTGGCATCGCTCTGTGCGTTGCTCGTTCATCGTCATCATTGTCTTTGTCATTTTGCCTTTTTCAATATAATTGCTTTACCGCTTATGTACACCCGTACCCGTGCATCCGAGCACCCATTTTCCCCAGAATCGGAGCACCATATACGTACACATTTGCTGTCACTCTGTCTCTGTTGCTCCATTTCGAATAGATGGCGAGAGCAGGCAAGCAGGCAGTCAGTCAACCAAGGCTATGTACGACTATTCGCATATTATTATTGAAATACTCCCGAGATTACAAGAATGTATTCCAATTCACAATACTGCGTGAATTATCGTTTGATTCAGAATTGTTGGCGTGTCGTAACACACTCCGAACAATCGTCGAAAATCGTTGGATTCGTTAGTTGTTTTCGAGAGCGAGAGAGAGAGAGACTGTGTGTATATTTGTTTATTTCCTCATGTATGCTCGGGCACTCTATCTCACACTCTTTATCACTCATACTCATACTTTGGCCACTCTATACTTATGAGCTCCCGGTTTGGAATACTCTTTATTTTCTACCTTTCTCTCTCTCTCTCTCTCTCTCTCTCTCTCTTTGTGCCTCATTTCGATTCGACGGGTTTGCCTTTCTATATCTGTATAATGTTTAAACATGACGGACTAATTCAGCACATATTCCGGTGCAATTGTTAATTTCGACATCCGCGTAAATGGAAAAGCGATTCATTTCGACCAAATTGAATGTGAAATTGCATGATATTGTATGTAATTTGTTAGCCATAGTGCTTTTCTGATCGTTTGCACACAGAATAACCATTGGCTCAGAAATGAAACGAAATCAGTTTGGCTGGGTGGAGCAGGTGCAGTTTTGGCAACGATGAACGTGATTTCATTGAGATTTTGCATGCACTCAGACCTGATATTCTTTGTGTGTGTGTGTGTGTGTGTGTGTGTGTGTGTGTGTGTGTACGCTAAATAGACTCGAGTCAGCACTTTTGATAAGGAATTTCCACGCTCTATCGACTCTGTTACAAGCGCACGTCAAATAATTTTATGGCATTCACTAAACTCGTAGTTGTGTTCGAAATTGGGAGAGAGAGTGAGCATCATGCAAAACACCACTTTTAACGAGAGTGTAACAAATATTCCGTGAACATGAAAAATTAAAGGTTAGCGCTTTATGATTTGTGGAAAAACTTCGTTAGTGCGGATATTAAAAGCATTTCATCAGACCACTGCCGCCGCCGTCGCCAACGACGACGACGACGATGAACTGAAAAAAAAACCGGTGAAGATGTCGATCGTCCTTTGAAAAAGCACACTTGAATAAGTACATTAAAACAAGCTTAATGTAAATGGAATTAAATTAGTACAATCAAAGGCCTATTCATTGAGTTTGTTGTGAATCTGTGAAACACTATATCGCTTTTTATTATTCTCCTTCATTTCTCAGCTCCGTCCATCATCCATCGCGCCGCACTCATCCACTCGCCTTTCGTTGATTTGGTAATTGTGTGCGTTATTATTATCGTTGTTGTTGGTGTTGTTGCTGCTGCTGCTGCTGATAATGATGGATCCAGCAAGCTTTTGGTGTACGTGAAATTGAATGAGGTCGCTTTTGGTCGCAATTTCTATTTAAGACTAGAAAGAGAGCAGTAGAGCGAGAGCCGAGAGTTAGAGTAAATAATGTGAAGGAATTAACGAAAAAGAAACTAAAATTGTATCTATCTCGACGTATGTATGTATATATATTAAAGAGCGCACAAAGAACACGCACTCTCACTTACTCTCTCGCTTGCTATTGATTGCACCGTTCAAATTTTACACAAGACACATAAAATGATGTTCTTTGTGTGTAACATCCTCTCGCTTGCTTGCCCATCATCATCATCATCATCATCAGCAGCGGCAGCAGCACAAAACACATATAAGGCGGTGTACTGTACATACACCATTTGGTCGGTTGATTTCGATTTTTATGCTTCTGTACATAAGTTAATTAGAAATAAGGCACTCACTCACTCTCCAAATTACAGCTCTATCCCTCGAGCTGTTGTCGTTTCGTTATGTACAAGGCACGTAATTGTTCAAATAAAATAAAATCGTTTTCAACATCTTTTAATTACTACTTCATCTCTCTGCTAATTGCTCCTCTTTTTCCAGCTTTAATGGACTCTAATTCCGTGTGCGCGCTTGCAATTTTTTTTTCTCGTTATATTGCGTTGTTATTCTCCTTTGTGCACCGGTACGCGCGATCTACCCTAGCTCCGCAC